ATTTCTAGACTTTTTAAAACAGCAAGCCTTTTCTAGTTCTAATTGTTGCATCAAATCAGATAAATGTTATTTTTTTCAATCATTGTATTCAGATTCTCTCTTTAACATATATCTTATTTTCCAAACTATGAATATAAATTTAGTTTTTCTGTTGATAGTGATTTATGCAGTGTTAATTATCACAGTGTCTATAATATTACCAACCTTTTCTTTGTTTAAGCTTTTGGAAATTAAAGAGATAAGACTGAATCCTGACATCTCCCTTTAGTGTTTCCAAGAAAGTATACAGTATTCATGGAAAGAAGATGGGTTCAGATTGTAGTTTTATTATTTTTCAATCATGTGAATTTGGGCAAGTTACTTCACATCTCAGAATCCCAGTTCCCTCGTTTAAAAGCAGGATATTGGTACCGACCCTACAATGCCGCTATGTGGATTTAATAATATAATATATATATGTAATGTGGCCAATGAATTAATTGTCTGGCACATGGTAGGTACTCAATAATGGTAGTCATTATCATTGTTAGTATTCTTGATTTACTTTATTTATACTATCTTTTTGCTTTTGTTTATATGACATCTGAATCCCAGAAGGAAGTATTTAGGAAAGTCAGTCACTCAATAGTAGGTATTGATAACCCAATATTTGAAATACATGGTATGAGATAAATTTTTCTTTATAAGAATATTGCTGAAGGGAATAGATGGTATTTCTCTAAAAGTTCTATGAACATGCTATGGCTATCCAAAATTAGACTATTCATTATTTTTTTTCCTGAAGGAAAGTTACTCCTATAATTTAAACTTTAAAACCATTTTTACTATTTGAAAATCAAGCTTCATTTTAAAGAAGTGTTGTATGATCATCTTTATCTTTGTTGCAGAGTAGAAAGAACACTGGATTAGGAGTCATGAGATCACCACTCTCTTGCTTGTTGAGTAACCCTAGGACAATCACTTAACATTTCTGCATTTCAGGTGCTTCATGTGTAAAAAAAGTATTTCAGGGTTCTTTGATTGCAAGCAACAGAAACTGGCTCTGGCTAACCAGGCAAAGGAAAACTTAGTGGAATGGTGTGGGAAGCACACAGAGTTGAAAGAAGGCTGGAAAACCAGGTTTGGAAATGGGAAAGTAGTCAAGCCCTCTCCAGAGGGTAGGAAAATTCTGATCGGTCTTATAGCAGGAAAAAACTGATCTGGATTCTACTGCTGAAGCAAAAACCTCTAAATATTCCTCCTCTCAAGATTCATATTCACAAGAGAGGCTCCAAAGATTGGTTTAACTTGGCTAATGTGCCAGCTTCTAGGAAAGGGATAGACTTCTGATTACAGTTCCATGTTTATGTCCAGTGGTAAGAGGTAAATCCTCAAAAAGAAATCAGAGCACTCTAGGAAAGAGTAGATCCTTGGCTTCAACAAAATGACAGCTGTCAGCTACACTGAAGATCATAAATGATGCTCCTTTTCCTACTATTTGTGAATATTACATTACGTGGCACACATGGTGATGCTAAACAAAGTCTAGTGAACTGGGTAGTATTATTGTTATCAGTTATTCCTTGTCCAGACTTTGAGTTTGTAAGTGGCTGACCCAGCAAGCATATGACATAGTTACTTCTGAACAGCATTATATCTTTAAACATAATTATGCATTAAAAAACTAAAAAATTGAAGATGATTATGAAAGGTAATCTTTCTAAGTAAAATCTTGATTTTATTCAAAGAAACTATAGCTAACCTTAATGAGAGCTAAGGTATCCATCAAAATGAATAAATTTTTTGTTAGATTTTAAACAGTAAAAGTTGGTAAATGACCAGCCTGGTGATTAAAGATCTTGTCAGTGGAATAAGTGGGAATGTTTTCATGTAGTTAATACTAGACTTGCCCTTGAATCAGATACAGTAATAGGAATTTGCAGAAATGACACTTAAAGTTTTTTATTTGCAGTGTCTAAATGCATATTCCAGAGCTCGGTAAAAACATGGACTTTAGTAAGAGACTTTTCTTTTTCTTTTTCTTTTTTTTGAAATTAGCGAGAATAAAATTATTAAGTAGACCATCCATTGTATGTTGAGTGTAAAATACTTTTTGCATTTTTATTAGGAAATTTAGAAGCTATGTTTTTGTTTTGTTTGTTTTTTTTGATTCAGACATCTCTTTTCTGGTCTTTAGCCCTACTGGTATAATAAAATAAAATAAAAATGAGATACAGGAAATGGGAAGTCTGTTAGTGTGCATTACATTATACAGAGTCATACAAAATGGAATGATTAATATGCTTGACTTGACCCAGGCATGTATATTCAGACTCTGAGGAAACCTCTAGATTACTCAGTTATTATTGGAAATTTGAGAATAACACTTCTGAATGAGTGTTTTTATTGAATCAGGAGGGGCCTAATTGTGTAGATACTTTAATAAAGTCAACAGAAAGAGAACAAAGTTATATTCCTGAAGATTCTATGGACAAATGCATTGATTTTACAAAAGTCTGGAAAATGACGAACTTTAACTTCATTTATGTTTCAATTAAGAATAAATTGATTTTCCTTGCACTATTAGAACTTTTCTTTAGTCCCATTGGGATTTTACTATTTTAACAACTGTTTTGATGTGTGAGCGGAAGAGATTAGTTTATATAATCAGATTTAGCCCTGGTTTTTTATAAGCAACATGTCCTATCATCTCACATTATGCTGCATGTAGACTTTTGGTTAGGGGACTAATTAAACCTAAAATCCACTCAATTAAAACTACTTTTGTATTAGATGAATTAGGTAAGATTTTGGAAACATTTTTAAAAATTGTATATTGCTTATTAATTGAA